AAAAAAAAAAAAGAGGAAGAGCCAAGCGTGCCCCCTCTCTCTGCCCTGTGAGGACACAGCCAGAAAGTGGCTATCTCTAAGCCAGGAAGAGGGCCCTCACTAGAACCTGACCATGCTGGCACTCTGATCTCAAACTTCTAGCCTCCAGAATTATGAGTTATAAATTTCTGTTGTTTAAGCCACTCAGTCTGTGGTATTTTGTTATGGCAGCCCAAGCAAACTAAGACAGAAATTGATACTGAGAAGTGGGGTGCTGCTGTAGCAACTACCTAAAAATGTGGAAGTGGCTTTGGAACTGGGTAATGGATAGAAACTGGAATAATTTTGAGGTGCCTACTAGAAGAAGCTGAGATTGCTGTGAAGGTACTGCTAAAGGCAATTCTGGTGAGGGTCCAGAAAGAAAAGGGGAGAGTTGGAGAAAAAGCCGCCATCTTCTTAGAGAATACATAAATAATCATGAACAGAATGTTGGAAGATATATGGATGGTAAAGGCCATTTTGATGAGGTCTCAAATAGAATGTAGAACATGTTATTGGACAATGGAGAACAAGTGATTCTTATAAGTGGCAAGGAATTGGGCTGAATTGTATTTGTATTCTAGTGTTTTGTGGAGGGTAGAACTTGAATTGATGAAATTGGATATTTAGCTGAGGAGCTTTCTAAACAAAGTTTTGAAGGAGTGATTTAGTTCCTTCTAATTGATTATTATAAGATGAGAAGAAAGAAATGAACTGAAGGAGGAATTGTTAAGCAAAAAGGAAACAGTACTGGGGCTGGCCCAATGGTGTAGCAGTTAAGTGCGCGCGCTCTGCTGCAGCAGCCTGCGGTTCACAGGTTCACATCCCAGGTGCAGACCAACGCACCTCTCCTCAAGCCATGCTGTGGTGGCGTCCCATATAAAGAAGAGGAAGATGGGCACAGATGTTATCCCAGGGTCAATTTTCCTCAGCAAAAAAGAGGAGGATTGTCAGCAGATGTTAGCCCAGGGCTAATCTTCCTCACCAAAAAAAAAAAAAAAAAAAGGAAACAGTACTTAAAGATTTGGAAAATTCTCAGCCTATCCATGTAGCAGAGAACACCAAAAGCATGGCCAAACAACCCTTCAACAAGGAGATTAGTATGAGCGTGAACCACAGACCTAATTAGCTACCTTAGCAGAAACACTACCAGTGTGAACTGAAGAGGATAGAGATGGGATGAAATGAAGGAAAGCTGTTGGACTTCTTAGGTTCTAGTGGAACAGGATCATAGAGCTATTTGGCTACGAACACACAGTATTCTTCATGATGAGGGATGAGTGATCTGAGGGCGCTTCAGAGATCATTAGGGCTCCATCCTTGTTTTCAAAGGGGGGTGTCATCGCCTTGGTTTCAACACACCAGGCAGCCTCTGCCTAGAGCATCATGGGGCACAGGACTGCCTGGCAGAGCCTGGTGGAGAAGGACAGCCCTCATTTGTCATAATCAGAAGACTTCTGTTTATCCAGTACTCTTATTAATAATAACCCAAAACTTTATCACACCACTTACCAACAAGCTCAGTATTAATCTTCTATCTCCTTAAATTTGCAGATAAATATAATTAATGATAGATACATAATAGGAAAAAGACAAGAAAATTAAAGACCTTCAGAGGAATTTCCTTTGAGATATTGTTCTTATCTACTGTGCCACTCATAATATTGAGTACTTATGTTTCTTCTTACCCAGCATTCTTTGGGACATATCAGAATATTGTTTGTAAATATTAAAAAATTTAAAAGACTTTGTGATTAAAATGCATTTGCATAAAAGAGATTGTCAATATTCCTTCACTTATGCTTTAATATTTTGTTGTTTTTATAGGATATAAAGTGTGATTGAACCAAACATTTATTTGGCTGATTCTCATCATGAACCGTGCTTTTAGCAGGAAGAAAGGTGAGTGTTTTAAGTGTGCCCATTTAAAGGACCTAGGAGTCAATTCAACATTACTATGAAAATCAAACAGAGATGTTAAGAAATCAGTTTTTCCTATTATTAAACATCTGGCTCAGGAATGAAGTCAGAATAGAGCAACACAAATCTGCAAACATTGCTAATTAACCTTTTGGTTATCACTCTAATGAAAGAGTGGAGTTGTTTAATACACTTAGTTTAGAATACATATTCTGTGGTGTGAAATTGCAAAAAATAAAGTGATCTGAAAATAGTCCTAACTTCACATTACGTAGCCCTATAATACAAAATTTCCTGGGCTTACATAAGCTTACCATGATTTAAATTCGCTCATGTGTATGTGTATGCGCTTTGCTTTTTATTGAATAATATATGAGGATTGATGATCGGTGAATTGATAGCTATGGGGCCAAAATAAGTTTGTTACTACTTTTAAGGCGAAAATTTAAAATAAATATAAATATATAATATATCATAATTATCAGTATAGGAATGAAAGAAACAGCTAGTTACATGTTATTTTTTAAGGGACAGAAAAATGTGGCATTTGACAAAATATTTCATGATGCACTCATAGGAAAGATAGGAAAATTTGATGGTTGTATCTAGTTCAGTGAAGTTAAAATAATGTATCCTTGTCATCCTGGAAAGAGTTCTCTAGTGGTGGGTACATGGCTCTCTCCTGTTTAACATGCTGTCAATGAATTGGGAGAGAATTCTTAACGCTACTTAAGTTCATAGGTGATTGAAAGCAGAAAAAGATAACTCATGTGGTAGGATTACAGATATGTGTGTGGGGGGACATGACCAGTTAGGTCATATTCCACACCATAAACTTGATAAGATATTGTAAATTGCCAAACATGGGTCCAGAAAATCTAACACTTTTATTTTTATTTATATATTGTTATTATTTGGAAGATGTACCTTAAGTGCTATGTAGGTAAAAAATGGCTGAAGAATAAAGTCAACAGTGTGATTATCAAAGCTTCCAATTAATTTTCTAATGTATGAATAATGAACAGTCCGGAACCAGTGAATAGATTGTTCTGTTCTATTCCATGTAGTCAGGCACAGTGTGTTCTCTCTTTAAAGGATTAATTGACAAATTGTAACATGCCTGGTTGACACAGGCTGGGATGACTTTAGGACTTCCAACCATACAAAAGGAAGCATGACTAGGTGTGTTAATGAGAGTTGTCTTTCAATGTTTAAAGGGCTGTCATTTGGTCATGGGACTAAGTTTAATAAAGGACAAATAGGTATAAATTATAAAGTCACTGATTTAACGTAGGAAAAAAATTCCAATGAAGTTGCACAAAAATAGAATGGAATTACTAACTTTTTTGTTACTAAAGTGAGATGTGTTTGAACATTTGGATGTGGTACAGAGAATTAATGTATTCAGTAGGGATTTAGGTAATGTGAACTTTCAGGCACTTTTCAAACCTGGGAAGCTAGGAGTTTATTATTTTGCTTATTTTTCTGAATAAAGGGAAGGCAAAATGACATTTATTGCTGTCTGTAGCTTGCTTTTGATTTAAAACATATGCCAAAAGTAAAATAATATTTATTTTTTATTCCTTTTACTGGTAAAAAAATATAGAAATAATTCTGTGATATATAGAAGTATTTTTAATAAAGTAATAAAAACCTTGTATCACAACTCATCACTCTGATCACACTATCTTATTTCTTCTAGACCTTCTCTTTTTTTATTTGCTTACAATTCCCTTTCCCGTGGTTTTAAAGTTGAAACTCCACATTTCTAATTTGTTCTTTATTTGAAGGGGATTTGGAGTGGTTTTTCATTGAGAAATCCCAGGGGTTGAATAGAAATACAAGTAACTAGCAATTATGTATTTGTCTCATTTGAGGACAGTGGGAGTACAACCATGGGGAAAATTGGACTGATTTAGAGAATCAAGAAGCAGAAACACTTGTTAGTTCTTGCTTTGCTTCTTTCTCTTTAAATTTCTTTTGACTTCTCTTGTTTTTCAAGTCTAATGATTAAGTATCTTTATCAGGAAATTTTTGATCAATATTTTTCTCTAATTCCAAGTTGGAACTTGATACTGGAAGTTATATCTTAAGTTCACTTCGGACTTCCTCGGGTTGTTAAAGGAAAAATTCTTTGCACCTCTGCTCCTAGTTTCAACCAATAGCACTATTTGGTTGAATTTTAATTTGAGATGGAAAACTTGAATTTTATGAGAGAATTTGTATTTCCTGACAATCAGGAACTGTAATTATAGCCCTAGAGAATATATAATTCATCTTTCCAATAATTAGCATCAATATACACTGTACTGCACTCTAAACAAGGCAAGATGGTCTTCTATCAGTAACAGCTTGTCTCTTATTTCATAGATATCCAGTTTACTTGGTTATCACGTGAAACCTTACTAAATTATCCTGGGCCTCAGAAAACTGGGCCTCAGAAAACTAAGGAAAAGAGATCATTATCTTAAACCTAAAGATAATTTTTTTCTCTTTTTATTAAATCGCCCAATTAGTAATTTGTCTGGTATTCTTTGATTGAATTAGCCAGTTACTTCACTGATTTGCTTTGCAAATGCTCTAATGATATTAGAGTTGCTCACGGATTCTAAAAAAGACTGAATGTATTAGAATTACATCATTTTGGACTGTTTTGAAGAGCTCTGTAAAAATTAATCGAACCTCATAATCATAGATTAAGTTTTGATGAATATATTTGTTTTATAGCTTCTTTTTCTATGTTAACTTTCTCTTTGAATTTTTTAAATCCTATATTCTATTTATTACATGAAAAACGAATCATTTGGTAAAAAAAAAAACTTAGCATTTGGATAAATGTGATTAAATAATCCACCTAATTACGCATTATGTTTTTTAACTTACCAGTTGACATACTGATGAGTAGATATAACCATAGTGCATAGCACTTAAAATTCATATTTAAATACTATTTTCTTTTTATGGGAATTTTATTCAAATGAAGCCATTCATGCAACAGCATTTAGTTTTAAATTTAATATAGTCAAAGTGGGTGCTTTCACTATGTTAAGCTCTGGTGATACAAGAATAATGAACTTACTGCATCTTTCTTGATGAGCTCTTAATCTAAAGGCATTTTGAATACCTAGAGTTATTGACTCAGCAGTCAGAGTTGTTTGACACTGTCAAGTATTTTGAAATGTTGGTATTTCCTTTTACATGAATGTTCACCATTAAGTTAGTGATTATAGTTTAATTTCAAGGAAGGGGACACCATCTAGAGTGTCTTTGTTCCCATTTCTGCACCAATTCCATATATCTAATATCTTCTGTGGGCAAATAAAGTGACCAAAGACCATCATCTGACCTCATTCTTCAAGGTCAACCACATCAATATGAGTTAATATAAAGAGTTTATTCTGCCATTTTTTTTCTTTTGGAGAACTAAAAGTTATGATGACAGTAAGGAGTCGTTTTAGAAATCCTTCAGGTTTTATAAGTGTTCTACCTATACTAGTGATACGTAATGAACAACCACCAAACCATCACCACTTATTGTGTGGAGGTAGATTTTTTGTCATTATAGCAACTGAAGCTTATCCACTAGTGATTTAACATTGTGATTATTTTAGTCTATCACCAGTAACAGCTGGGTATACCTACCCTCTTTCTAGGTCACTGCAACGTGAGACTATAACAGAGGCAATATCATCAGTTTTTAAATAATACTGACTTATGGGAGAAAGCAATTATCCATCTGCCTCAGGATTGGAATGAACCATCATATTCAGACTTAGTCAGACTTTACATCCTCCTGAGAAGTGTTGTATGTTTTGGAAAAGGAGACATGAGAAGAATTGAATTAAGGGGTAAAAAGGGAAATTGGATATCTTTTTAGATTTCCTGAAGGCAGGTCTTTGGTGTTTTTATTGTTTTGGTGTTTTTGTTGTCTTGGTGTGCAGTATTGTGATTTATTTCTTTTAATATACAAGGGCAAGACTATATATCAAATCTAAGTACAAATTATTCTTGAGTTAATCATATCACTATCCAGTAGCAATCATGAAGAGAAAACTATAATTAAAATGAAAATCCATACAAAAAATAAAAGTTTTATAGATTAATGTCAATATGTCAAAATTGCTTTTTGAAGCTTAGAATGTATTACTTTTCATAATATTTCGCCCAAGTACAGCTATCGCATATATATTTCAGTAGTCAGATATAGCCCTAGAATGCATCATAAGCATGGGATTTCATTGATCCTTCATGTTTCGTCTTAGAAATTCTAGTGAATATCGCAGTGTAGCCCAAAAACATGTTTAATATAAATATAGTGCATTATTCTTCAAACGGTATAGAATAGTTGATATTCCAGAAATGTATGCCATTTTCTGTATGTCTTCACATTCCCCCAGTTCAAAAACATATTAATGATATCAAACTAGTTTTGATTGACACCAGTTTCAAATGTTCTGAATTGAATGTTGAAGATACTGTGTTAGTAACCTATTTCCTTTCAGTATGTACTTATTTAATATTTTTCATGGTAAAATATTTCTTTGATTCTATTCTGTTTATAATATTGACTCTAAATTTTAAAATTCCTATGAAGAATAAATACTCACAAAACTCCACTAAAGGAGGTATAATGTATTTGAAGATCGAGAAGTTTTACTACCAACTAAAGCAGTTTCAAAACAAATAGCCAGGGGCGGCCCCGTGGCGTAGCGGTTAAGTGCGTGCGCTCCACTGCTGGCGGCCCGGGTTCGGATCCCGGGCACGCACCAACACACTGCTTGTCAAGCCATGCTGTGGTGGCGGCCCATGTAAAGTAGAGGAAGATGGGCATGGATGTTAGCTCAGGGCTAGTCTTCCTCAGCAAAAAAGAGGAGGATTGGCATGGATGTTAGCTTAGGGCTGATCTTCCTCACACACACACACACACAAAAAGCCGAATTTGATTTGTGTAAACATTGATTTTGTGGTTGTTGTTGTTGTTGAGGAAGATTCCTCCTGAGCTGACATCTGTTGCCAAGCTTCCTCGTTTTTTCTTTTCTGCTTGAGGAAGATTCACCCTGAGCTAACATCTGTGCCAATCTTCCTCTGTTGTGCCAGCCACCACAGCATGGCCACTGACAAATGGTGTAGGTCCGCGCCTGGGAACCGAACCCAGGCTGCAGAAGCAGAGTGTGCCGACTTAACTACTAGGCCACTGGGCCTGCCCCAACATTAATATTTTATACCTTTTTCCTGCTTATACATTCCACAAAATATTTGGGAAGATATGTGGAATATATAAATAAAATTTAAAAATTGAATGAAAAGTATATTTTCTTTATCAATAATATGCAATACAAATTAGTTTCAATATTTTCTATCCTTTTAGTTACTTTAATTTCTAATATTCTATTACACTAATCTAAGGAATATTTCAAATTACTGTATTTAAGATTATTTATACCCAAAACTCCTGATAGTAGATCCTCAATCAATGTTTCTCTAAACTCAGACTAAAAAGTTATCCTAATATTTTACTGATTTCCAAATGAACTTAGTAGATTGATTTATTTCAGCTTTATATGAATGCAGTTGTTAGTTTAATGTTAAAATTTCCCTTTACTCAATAGTTAATTCTTGATGTTAAAAAACAGTAATCACAATGAGTAAAGAGCAGGTTACTTTTTATTTATCAGGGAATTAAGAAAAATAACCTATAATTCATGAGAGTATAAAGTGAAAGGAGAAAGAGATCACATAATTAATCACATAATTGATGTAATTACTCGTGGCCCAACTGATGGTATCGTATTTTATTCTTTAAAACTCAGTATCACTTTATTATTTGAAAACTTTTAAGAGGAAAAGCTAGGGATTTTTATACCAAGGAAAAAATCCTATAATCACTTTCCAGCTACATTATTCTTCTATCTTACCAGTTATTCTTTCTCAATTTGGCAAAAGAATCTCAGAAATGCTCCCACCCATATCAGATTCCTTACAAATGCTAATGAATGAATATGACACCCTTAGAACCTGTAATTCAATTTAACGCTGTCTATTCTTCATTGCAGACAAAACATGGATGCATACGCCTGAAGCTTTATCAAAACATTACATTCCCTATAATGCAAAGGTAAAATAGTTCATATGATATTATTGAATTTTTTTTTGTTATAGTATTATTACTTTTTCATGGTTAATTTGAGAAAGATTGCTTATGCATTGGCATTTCCTAGTAAATGATCCCTGAAAAAAATTTGCATAAATAAAATAATTTTGTAGCATATAGTATGGGAAGTTATTTTTCTCTCCAAATAAGCGCTTCTTTTTTAAAGAAGAATATCCTTTATAATTTCTGTTTAAGTCATGCATGTATTTTGTTCAAGTGATTTTGGCTATTGTTAAAATTATTTGCACTATATGGCTTGTAAGAAATTAAAAAAACAACAAATTAGCTTCCTTTAAAAACATTTCAGTGTTGCATTATGCAGACAAATATAAAAACTAACTGGAAATAAGAGAAATGAGCTATAATTTTAATGAACGTAATTATCATCCAAAAAAAAAAAGAGACAAACAAAACTTAAACTATTAAGAAAACACAAAAAAATTCACATATACATATATTTTGTGAACTCTTTATTCAGTTTCCTGTATTTTAATTGAGAAATAGAAACAATCTATACTCTGTCTTCAAAAAGTTGATTCATTGTTGTGGTAAAACTGGACAAATGAATGAATGCAATTTATAAAAGTTTCTTTAAAGAAAGGTGTTATTTTATAATTAGTGAGCACCAAATCTGAAATAGACTTCAGAGAAATCTGAGTCTAAATTTAGGAGACACAGAATTGAATTAAAGGGAATACGAGAATGGGTGAGACATAAGCAAATGACCTTTGGAGACAGCACAGGGAAAAAAGAAAATGAGAAAATTATTTTTAGAAGAGAACTTAAGAGTTTATGGATTAAAAAACTGTATACTGGGATATAATGAAATTAGGTATGAGGAATTATTTCAGGAAAATTAAAAAAAATACATTTATTGAACAAAAAGTCAATAGCGTTTAATAGGGAACCTCTAGCATGCTGGTCTTGAGTCTGCATCAGCAGGAAGCAGCATTTTAAGGCCATCTAGAAGTTCTTCCAGAGCCGGTGCTCAACCGTGAGATTTGTAGAGTGCAGCGACTATGTGTTTTCTTGCTGATTTGGATCTAAGAAAATGCTCTAAAATGTTTTCTGCTTAAACCTAATATACTTGAAATCACTACAATGCTTATGATTTTTTCTGTAAAGTTAACATGAGGATTGACTGCCATGAGTTAGCATATAGTTAACTGAATGAGAAAAATTGAGTTGATATTATCCATCTCTTCCTCAGATATTCCTCGTATTAGCTATTGAGAAACTATATGAAAACTATATAGAAAAAAATTTAATCTAGACAACTACTATTATATTAAAGTGCGTGCTCAGTTTTTTTTTTTTTTTTTTTTACTGAGGAAGATTCGCCCTGAGCTAACATCTGTTGCCAATTTTCCCCTTTTTTGCTTAAGGAAGAGCTAACATCTGTGCCATTCTTCCTCTATTTTGTATGTGGGTCGCCAACACAGCATGGCCTCCAATGAGTGGTGTAGGTCCGTGCCTGGGAACCAAACCTGGGCCGCCGAAGCAGAGTGCACCAAACTTAACCGCTAGGCCACAGGGACGGCCCTGTGCATGCTTGGTTTTTGAAATTATTATTGATTGTAGTAGAATTATATCCTTCAAGTGAAACCACCACAGATTATTTTTATATGTGATTGAAATGTCTCATTTTGAAAAACTGGTTTATAAAGTGTTGAAAGATTCTAACTAGAACTACGTTTAACTCTGCTGGTTCAGTGACAATGGAGATCTGCTTATCTCATGGAAAAGTTGCCTGTGCTAATTCACAAGTGCATAACAGCTGTAAGAGATCTCACAAGAAGTTGAGGGCTCAGAAAGATCTTCCCAGACTGGGGTCAGTAAAATATGGAGGAGTCGGTTGTTTTTTCTATTCTAAGATGGCCTCCTGAGTGACCATGTATATCATGTGTACCAAGTAATGGTAAAACTAATTGAAGAACATTATTTTTTTCTAAATTCTCTTCCTTGTGGCACTTCTTTGTAAATTGATCATTTAGTAGTTATTTCTGAAAATTTTCTATATCTCTTATTAGACTAAATGCCACTTGAAAATCAAATCCATGTCCACAGGAACTACCTTAGCACAATTAGAAAAAAATACAGACTCTAGTACTAGATTGCCTTCGTTTCTATCCTGATTCCAACACTTATTAGCTATGCGTCTTTGGGCAAATTGCTTAACCTTTTTATGTCTGTGGTTACTCATGTTGAAATAGGGATAACAGTAATTTCTCATTAGAGTTGTTCTAGAAATAAAGGTGTTAGATAAGTATTAGAAGAGCGTCTGGAATAAAATAACTACTTGGTAAATGTTAGCAATCATTAATTTATCGTTTTATTTTTCACAGGACTTACCAAAGTGCCTGTCTCATAGTAGGTGTTCATTATATGTATTTGATGAATTATTGCATAATAATCTTTCCAAGGTAATTACAAAATTGTTACATTTCACTGAGCCCCAATATATGCCAGCTACTGTGCTGGTGTGTTTTTACACGATCTCATTTAGTATTTGCCGTGACCCAGTATGGTGATTATTAATCTTTACATAAGAGAAGACTAAGGCTGAAAGATTAAGTAATTTGCCTATTTTCACAAAGCTAGTCAGACAGAGCCAGACTAAAAAACTGAAGTCTATCTGACTTTGAAAGTTTGCTTCTTTTTATGTATGTAATAACACTTGATTATTCATTCATTCATTAAATAGCTATTGTTTTTAAGGTGCTATTGCTGAAACATCACTGAATGTTGATGAAGCTTCAGAGCTGTGTGACACATGGCTTATATTCTCATGCATCTTATTGTCATAGGGAAATATCTTACAAAAATAACTAATATAAAAGGCAGATCATATTTTATGCCATTCGAATGGCACTTAGCAGAAAGCTATAGAGATTCAGAGAATGGCATCACTCCTGTTTTATGAAAGTGGGAGCAAGGTAGGATTTCCAAGAGTCAAAAACAAGGGTGGATTGACCTTTTCAAGCTAAGATATCTGAAGGAGGATGAGTGCAGTCAGCAAGGTCTAAGGCACAAACTGAATGTGACAAAAGTTGGGCTGGACCATAAAATACTAATGATGGTAAAGTACTTTGTCAGTCAGGATTCCATCGAGAAATAGAACTAGTAGGATGTACACACACACACACACACACACACACTCATTTATTTCAAGGAATGGGTTACACAATTGTGGGAGGGCTGGCTAGACAAGTCTGAAATCCATATGACAGGCCATCAAGAAGGACAGGCTGGAAACTCTTGGGCAAGAGGTGACCGCAGTGGAATTTCTTCTTCTTCAGAGACACAGTAGTTCTGTCTCAGTTCTACTCTTAAGGCTTTAGATTGATTGTATCAAGCCCAACCAGATTGTCCAGGATAATCTCTTTTATGTAAAGTCAACTGATTATAGATATTAATCATATCTACAAAATAACTTCATGGCAACACCTAGATTACTGTTTGATTGAATAGCTGGCCAAGTTGACACATAACACTGACCACCACAAGTACTAATGATGGCCAAGGCCAAAAAGATAAATTGGGAAGGATTTGAATGACAGGAGAAGCAGTTTGAGTAGAGAAATAATCAAATAGGATTTGGGGAAGATAAGTCTGTAGTGATTTGAAAGTTGATTTGGATCAACAGAGATAGGATGACATTAAACTTCTTAGGAAATTATTTTAATGGGCCAAGTGTGTGTTCCTAAGTTTATATAGGGTAGTAGATAAACATATAGTGGAAAATAAAGATGTCCTAAATATTCCAGGGGAAAAATTGATGCAACAGAGGAATAATTTATATGTGCGGGAAAAGAAAAATATCTATTTTCATCTTGGCTAAAAGGGAGAATGATCATACCATTAAAAGATTCCCATCAGTTCACTCATTTTTGGCATCCACTGGTTACAAATTAATCTGCTAAATTTAACAGAGCTATTTAAGAATTATAATTCTCCCTGGGGAAATATGTAATAACCTTTACATTGAGATGTTTTCAGTTTTAAAGTAATAGTTTTCTGCTTAAATGTAACAATTCCTTTAGCTTCTTTTCTAAGAAGCTAGTTCCACATTCTTTCATTTTAGTTCAATTTTAGTTCTACATTCTTTCATTTTATAGAATATCCTATCTCAAAAATTCATATTAATATTCATAGTATGCCTATTTTAGGTCATATGTGGATATAAAATAATAATTGGTTTCAAAAGTATTATTCTATGTAGAGTTCATTAGTTTTTGGTTATTTTAATGGGCAGTGAAAGCATTAATACTAGTTCAATGGGAATTCTGCATATTATCCTGAGTACTCTGTAGTGATGTTTTTCAAACTTTAGGTTATGCTCCATGAAAAAAATTGGGTCATAAAATCAGTGCAGTGGGTCATGGGAGGCATGTGTTTAAAAAGGAAGTAGACCAGAAGAGAGAAAGAAAATAAATTTTCAGAATGCATACGGTAAACGTCAATTTATTCCATAAAATTGTAGTTCATAGTCATAACAGTTTGAAAGCCACTGCCTTTAGGCAGTAATCTCTCTTTAAATAGTACCAAAGACTTCACCAGGTTTAACTAATTTAAATCATAAAATAATAATAAGGGAGGGCTGCTCAAAAGAGCAGTTAAATTTTTAATAGAAGAGATGATCCACATGTAAGTTTAACCACGTCCTCATTGAATATAACATCTTAAGATAATTTCTGAAATATACATATAAACATGGTAGGAGTGATAGAGAAATATACTAAAATATAAATATAGGTTCATTGACACACTCTTTCACTCACACATGTACTTACTCATTTGAATTGAGCTCCTAATATATGCCAGCTCTCCTGGGACTTACATATAATAAGCAAAATAATAATTTTTGAGAGACACCCCTTAAGAAAATAGTAAGTATATCTTTATTAATACAGTATTCACCAGTATTATTTATATAGTATAGTATACAGTGTGTGTGTATATAT